CAGTCATGGGTTCGATCCTCCGCAGAGGATCGAAGGATGCGCACCACTGATGAGCCCCAATAGGGCGAAACGGCCGTCTGGTGCTTTTCCGGACAGCTGGTCGACATCTCTGAATTGTCGGCTGATTGCGACGAACAAAAATACTCACCAAAATCCTTCCATTCATAAGTAACGTTTTCTGTTGTTTATTTCCCTATTGGGTGCATATTGAATAATTTCCCTGGTTCGCATTATTAGCTACTTGCATCTCGCTAGCCACCACACACGTTCATAGATTAAATAAAGCTGTTGTCTTCAACCGATGGTTACTCATTTCTCCAAACTTACATTTTTTGTGCCTCTGCTATCGGTTTCATTTGTGATTGAACCAAAAATTCTGCCGGATGATGGGTTGTAAACTTTCCCCGGATCGATTCGCATGCAACAAGCAAGGTGCATGGTACTATGAAACCTACGCTGTACGGTTAAGTGGGACTAGTGGTGATGTTCGATACGAACAGAATCACCGCAGTGTTATAAAAATTAATTAAAAATAAATTTGTATATTTACCGACAAACGATACAGGACCCTATAAACGGGAGGGATCATTTGTATAGTGAATAGGTTTCATGTTTTATGCGGCGTAATTCATAATAGTAAAGGAAAGTTACATAATAGCATTTCGGATCATGTTTTTTCTCCTCGAGTCGTAGACCGGAGCACCTATGTACAATTTGCCTATATTTGTATCATCATTTTCTTGTTTATGGGGCTCGAGAGTAGATAATAAAAGGGAGGGGATACTAGGCTGCACAGACACAGGATTTGGTATTGTGGGTAACGACATGTAGTGCGTAAGCAAATATCTGCTCATATGTTTTTTTTAACCAATGTTTCTAGAGTTTGCTGTGAGTCAAAAATCTTCAACACAATTGATATAGTAAGCAACGTCTGTAGGGAACTTCAAAATGTGGCATTACTTGCACTCATGCGTATCCTTAGGGGTAGTTTGTTCCACAGATAAGTGTATCTCACTGAGAAAAAGTTCGATCGAGTCCTATGACTTGCAAGCTTTGTGCGTAGCAAGTAGCCACCATTACATGTGGGGTAGACTGCAGTCTTCCGTAGTTCAAGTGCGGTGCTGTCTGCATAAATTCGTTGGTTTATAATGTTGTAGAAGGGAACAAGGTTGTTCTTTAAGCGTCTCAGCCAAAGTGGATCCAGTTGGAGTTTTCGACAGCGATCATAATAAGTCAGGTTTGAGCAGCACCCCATGACCAGCTTGGTAAATGATCATTTGACATTTTCCAAAGCTGCTCTGCCTTTCTTTCTCAATTGGCTGTGAACGGTAGTACAGTATTCCAGAGTCGGTCGTACTGTTGCCTTGAATGACTCAAGTCGTGCTTCAGGTAGGGAGAAAGTTCTGGTGATATATCCGCATAGCTGCCTTGCTTTTGCAACCTGATAAAGCACATGTTCGGAGAAATTGAAAAGTTGGAGTACCTAATTCCTATGTCCCGAACTGAATCAGACGTTGGGATCATGTTTCCGGTAAGTAGAATGGAGCCTTCTGGGATGCGGCATCTGTACCCAAGTACTTGGGATTTCACTGCGGAGAGCTTCATTAATAAGCGTTCACTAGCTATATTTAGTGCGGATAGGTCTTCACAGTTGCTTCCCAGGCACATTTGTAGTTGGTCTGGATGAAATGTGTAGACCCGTTTGACGTCATCTACAAACAGAAGTGGGCGTCCATGTTTGATCGGGTCGCATATGTGGTTTACGTAGATTTGGAAAAGTAGTGGTCCGATCACACTTAACTAGGAGACACCGCTGCTTATCTGTTTCGGTGTAGAATATTGGTGACTGATTCTAACTACCTGGCTTCGACCGTTTAGGTATGACTCGAACCAGTTTAGCAGAGGATTTCCAATTCCATATGACTCTAGAACAGAGAGCAGTGGCTTGTGGGGCACGCGGTCGAAAGCCTTTTGTATGTCCAACAGAATTATAATGATTGCCATTCATCTGTCAATCATAGCCGTGACGTGATTGAGGAATTGTAGCTGGCAGGTAACTCAGGAGCGTTTTGGGAGAAAGCCATGTTGTGAGGAGTTGATCAGATCCAGTCTTATAGGGTATTGAACGACGTTCTTCTTGACTATTCTCTCTAGGGCTTTGGAAGCAGCAGAGGTGTGATATATTGGGCGGTAGCTTGACACTTTATTTCTCGGGCCACCCTTGGGCTTAGACATTATAATTAATTAATTAATTATAATTATTATTATAATGTTATCCTCAAGCCTTATTATTATAATTAATTATAATTATAATATTATAATGCTTTCCATTTCAATGGAAGCACATCCGGTAGTGAAAGAAAGTGTGAAGATGTTTAATAACAGTAGAGCGAGGTTTTTTCCTCCTGCGTTTTATGACAGTTGGGAGATACCATCTGGGCACCTCTCTTAACGCCACAGGGATATTACAGTATAGCTCGGTTGTTCTTTTTGGAAGTGGAGGATGCAACGGCTGAGTATTTAGGACAGAGCAGGAGGCAAAACTAGAGTTGATAGCCTCATATACAGGAGATGTCGCGCGTTATTGAACCATCGTCTAGAGCCAACGTTTTAATTTCCTGCTGGGGTTTAGGATTCCTTCTTTTGAGTAATTGCATCAATGTACATACTTTCTCAGGATTTCTAAGTACCCGAGTTTCTTCTTTGCTTTTGACCGTTTGGGTTAGACGTTGTAAATGTAGCAGATTCTCATGTATTTGTAGCAATGTTGCGAAGCTGTTGCTCTTGCGATATAGCGATTTGAGTTTCTTTAGTTTGATTTTGGCTTTGCACAGGAGCTTGAGTTCACCACTGTCTTCATGGGTATTTCTCCATACGGTAGGTGCCGATAGATCTATACCAAGAGCAATATTGTTAATAAACGCATTCGTAGCCATAGTAGGGTTGTGAGTTAGGAATGACCTATTCCGATTCATGATTCTTATAAGTTCATTAAATGAGTTCCGGTCCGGACGATGAAGTTTGCCAATGCGTTTTAGCATTTTACCTGGTCGCTTAGGTGATTCAATAGTCATATCACAAATCACCGTGTTGTGATCACAGCCCGGCAGTGGATTATCAATGAATATATAAGTGTAAGAGATTCCTATCGTGATTACAGGGTTTGAGGTAGTGGCACTTCTAGTTGGTTCTCTAACATGCTGGGTCCAGCCATCGATGTGAATACATGAAATGATTTCCTCAATCCCCGCAGTGTTTCTGAGTTTAGAAAACATCCAGTTACCATGTGCTTGGTTGAAATCTCCACGCATTTTTTGGATTTGTATGTGCTGCTCTAAGCAGCATTGATCATATCGACGGAGAACTCTGGTGAATCTAATGGAACAGTACCAGCCGACGCCACGTAGAATGTCGCCTAGATCGTTGGGGTGTCTAAGTTAGAAGACGACTATTAAATCACAACATTCTACTCTATGCGTTTACCGATAACAGTGTGTTCATTTATTTGTTTCCACAGTCTAATCCTAAATCGGTTTTCAAGCACTGATTGCGGTATATTTCCACACTTCATGTAAGTACGAGTTCGCGATGTTAATGCCGAAGTTAATGCAATCAACTGATTTATTGTAATAAAGTGGCAGTGAAAGACCCAATCTAGAAGTTTTACTATCCTCCCAGTTCAGTTCAGTACAGTTGAACAACTATGATCCGAGCACCGACGTGCGGTGGATCCAGTTGACACGATTCACATCGAAAGAATAACAATAAATAACAACGACAACGTTGTGAGGTTGAATGCAAATAGAATGTGAATCAAAGTAAAGCGAGAAGGAAGTGCGCTAAACTACTCAGAATGGAACGAAAATTAACAAATGTGTGTAAGAAACTGAATGCAGGAATGCGACTGCGCAATGTCTGATACGGTCTGTGGAGCATCCCGAGGCCTACATCCACGAACACAGCATGCACCAGCCTAATCTAGTCTCTCAGTCAGTTTCTTCTTGCCTATATGCCATATCGTGGACTAGCCAACTCGCGGTTTCGTCCAACTTGGTGCGGCCACGACCACGGCAAACCGAGGAAGCCGGGCATGCAGAGGACATGGCCTAGCCAACGTACGTGATTAAATTTCAGCAAACGTTCGGATGAGGCAACAGAAGATTTCCTACCAAAAACCAACTGGTGGACTGACTTCACAAATTCCCCATGTCGGCTGGATTTTCTAACCGCGGCTTTACAGGCTCCTGTGACCCCACCGAGTCGGCAGTTACTGCGTTCTCAGATATCGTCAGCTTTATTCGCATTAAGTCGCCCACATTGTGGTATTGATTAGTAATCTTCGTGCCTTTTTTCCGTTCTGTCACTGGTGATTGAAATGTTTACTTGTTTGCTCCCTTTGCTATTCTGACTAGTCGGTCGTAGAAATCTGCATCAGATGGTTCGCTACAGCTGAATGTTATCGCTTGATCCTCGATAACTCGTTGGACGAAACACGTGCTACTTGCATATGATCCTGGAAACTGCGCCGGACATTGAACCTCAACTAGTATGATACCTGCGTTGTCATGTTTCGAACTTTAAAGTGTAGCTACTTCCTCATACGGGCTTTGCTCTGATAAGCTACTTTTCGTTTGCGCATAACGTACTTTCCACAGTCTTTTCAGACTCGTTGACTTATTTTGGGGAAATATCTGCCCCTAAATTTGAGTTTCCTCTACAGCGAGGTCCGATTTTGCTCCCTGTACTTTAGAACTTTTCGAAGCGATGACTGCTTTTTACCCGACCAGCTTTAGACTGATGTCCTTAGCTCACCTTCTTTGTGGGCATTGTAGCGATTATTTCTGTGGGCCTTCTTACTTCCTGCTATCTGACGTCACTTCCTCTCATTTTTCTTCCTTGCAGACACTTTCCTTTTGAACTATATCGTGTTGTTTTTTCTCGCCGCTCTTGAAACCCTTAAACTTGATCATAACTTCTCCATCCCATTTCTTACTCTTTAGATGTCCCCCGTACGATTATTCAAGATTCTCGGTCTACCAGGAAACGCTTTAGCGAAGGTAAGTTTCCCATATATTTGAATCTACCATAGTTTTCTTGACATTTTGACTAGAAAAGGTACTGAGCTTAGTTTTTCAAAACCTCTACGCCTGACTGAAATTTGAATCCGCTGGTAGCATCCTGGCACCAATTGGTGCACGAGTCTGCGGGTACATTAGGGCCAACGAATCTAATGCCCTGTTGTTGCAACTGCTGTCTCGTCTATTGTCCTCATCTCGATCACCTAACCCAATTTTTCGTTTGTTTTTCTTTACTCGACACTCAGTGTGAACTTCATCAGTGGGCTGTTGATTAAGGTATATCGTTCACCTGTCATACTTAGTAGGAAATGTACCTGCGGCCCTTTTCGAAAAAGATGTAGGCGCTCAAGCACTGTCTCCGCTTAAAGCACAATAACACCACCTCCTGCTACCTATCTCACGCGCATGTGGTCAGTTGTCTAAGAATTGAGTTATTCGCAAAATACCTCATTCGTGCCACCACCTACAACACCCCGAGTTCTATTCTGCCTGCAAAATGTCAACCAATCGTCATCGTGATTTGTGGCGGCGTCTAAATTGAAGTGCATCAAACGAACTTTATCGTCATTTTCTTTCCTCCTTTTCAGCAAGCCTGACATTAAACTTCAAATACTTATTGCGGTCTGTTAACGCCGCACGCGGCTTGTTTCTTCCCAGATCATGAAATATGCCTTTGGGAAATATGAATTAAAATCAGCGAAGAAATTTCTTTTTGGTAATTTTCTTTAAGCTAATACATATGTAACAATGTTTAAAATTACGACAGACTAACATAGCCGAATTAGGGTTGATTCAGTCGAATCAGCCGGCTTTATCTGTTCCTGTCGAACTGGTCATTTCAAAGCGCCCTACCATTCAACGTAGACAAATGTCGCGTTGTACAGTTACGCCATAGACATAACTACACCTATTCACTTGGGACAAACGGATTGCAGACAGCTCCCAGGAACGTGACCTTGGTGTGTTCATACAGAGCGACCTAGACTGTTCAAAACAGGCTGAGGTAGCTGCGAAAAGGGGCAACCAGCACGTCGGCATGCTGCGACGGGCATTCGGGAGATTCGACCCATCAATCTTCCCAATGATGCACAATTTTTACGTGCGCCCGCATGTTGAATACGCTATCCAAATTTGGCAAACTTGGTTGAAGCACGACCTAGAGGCGTTAGTGGCACCTCAAGGAAGAGTAACAAAGAATGTAAAGGGCCTGCGCTATCACCCTTACCACCGAAGGCTAAAGTTGCTGGGAATTTTCGGCGGGCGCTATCGAAGGCTGCGCGTTGATCTCATATTTGCGTATCAGATACTGAGTGACCCCAACCAGGTATGCCGCCATTTGCCCTTTTGGGTAGCGTTTTTGGTGTGATGTAGAAAACTTGAAAAGCTTCCGAGGTAATGACTTGATACGCGCTTTGGATTAAATCTTCCAAAACAGAGCTATTGATATGTCCATCTGTGCGCTCGCATAATGCTGCTGGGCAATGTTCTGTTATTTGTTTGGTCAAGTCCCTGGTCGTGTGTCCGAGGTATCTTACACTACAGATGCAAGTAAATAGATATAGGCTAAAAGATGCGAACATGATTAGCAGTCGATCCTTAAGACGTTGGTTAATAAATGGGGCCGTTTTTACAAAGTTTTTGGACCCGTAACTTCCATATCCGATTTAGGTGATGCTTACGTTCCCCCATAATGCTCAAAGCCGGTTAGTTAACTTAACTACATTCGCCCCTTCGTCAGTAAGTGGCCGAGAGGGAAAGTTAACCGGTTCGATTCCGCGTAAGCGTAGTCGACCTTGTGTTATCCCTAACACGCACGTGGCTGGCGATGGACGCATAGCAGCCAAGCGTCCGTACGCAATACCAGCGTACTGCTGGTGCGTTACTTTATTTCTACCATTTCATTTTGTCACATTTTATTCGGTGCTTGGGCTGCATTTTATCAACCGTCACGTTTTCATTTACTATCCGCTCTGACCTCTACGTGCTTTGGCACTTATATTTCCATATTGCCTTAAGTTTATACCCATTGTTTGCATACCACATGTGTTCATTGCTACCTTATACACACTACTATCTTGTTACAGTTATTATAGTTGTGAAATCTTGTTTAGCCTTATATAATTTTGTATAGTACTTCTTTTGCTGCATAGTAGCCGGCTGGTAGCTTGCCGGAACGATGCCCATCCGTTACCGGTAGCTCAGCTGGCTTGCACCTGTTGCATTTTACTCCCTTTTTTCTTTTAGGTATTGCGGCACAGTGGTTGAGGTGTTTCCCACCTCTAGCTAACGTGTATAATTATGATGATGATGATGTCTTGTTTTCCTATCACCTTTTTTCTGCTCGTTTTGTTTCTATGATGTTGCACCCACAAGTGACCTGCTTTTTCGACATCCTGGTTACTGCCAGCGCCTCCATCAATTAGTAACCACTTTCACTGCTCATAACCTACACAGTATATTGTTTTCCTGTTTCAGGATCTACAGCTCAATCCAAAATTAATGCTATCCAAGCGCATCGAACGCGTCGCCGGACTAGTTGTTCGAGTTAAGGATCATCACCCCTTGTCCGATCGTTCATTACCTGTCGCACGAGTTTCTATACTGGACCTTGGGTTGGAGGCGCTCGAAAAATAATGTCTCTTCTCTCTCTTTCTCTTGTTCGCTTTGGTTTGATAAACCTCTGCTGTTTTGCATCTGCGCTCCAATTTGCCGTTCTTTGTTGTTTGCGAATGATATTGGCCATCAACAACCTATCCCTCAGGTCACCTTAATTGCCTGGGGCTGGGCTGCGACTCGATGTTTCGTATTTCAGAGCTATGTCTCAACACCTTTTAATAGTCAATCGGATTTAACTGTAAATCAGACAATACACCAGTTTATCGTTCCAAGAATTCTTGGCTTTCTGTCGAGAAGCGGGAAATTCTACGCCTATTTCAGCATTACTTCTGCTGCTTAGCTCCTATAGCCTTTTGATTCGCAGGCTTTTTCGCAGAATGCGTTAAGTACGGAAATCTATCGAAAAATACGGGGAAGGAAAACCAGGGCTTAACAATCCGCGTAGGATGTTTGTGAACTAGCTAATTTCGCAAAAGTGACGGCGAAATGAAGTACGCGCCTTTTGACTCACTATACTATCCACGTTGACACGTTTAAACTCGTCTACCCCGAGTTTTTGGGGCTTGTGAGCACAATGTTTGCATCTTGTCGGCACTCGATGTAGACAGTGTAACGAATCTTCCGGACGTTTCTGAAATAAAGTAGATTACGTGGGTGCATAAATGAAAATATCGGGCGTGCGTTCCACCGCCAATTCCTGAAAAAGTTCTTGCGACCTTCCAGTCGGCTGCATTGATTAGCCAGTCTCAGCTGGTGGCCCCTTATTTTTGTGTTGCGGCTAGGTTTCAAGGAGTGGCGGCAGTCACAGGTAGTGTTTTTCACAATCGGCAAGTCAGAATGGGATCACCCCATAGATGGCAGTTTTCTGATGAAATCTCCTAAGGCTTTCATTCGTGTTTGATATGGCAGATGGAACAAGCATTTAGCGCTTTTATTTTCCGTTCTTTGTGGAGTCTCCAGTGCAGCTAGTTACTGTTTTAGCTAGAGCTGCTAGGCGTGAATTATATACTCGACATGGCTCTCACATACGTATTTACCAGTAGGTGACAGGGTCGAATGCCTTCCGTAAGTGATCAACATGTCGGTTCATGGTGTTTGACACCTTCAGGGACTGATCCGAACAGCTGAAATCGTCGTGCATCACCGCCCAAACCTCACGCTCTTGTGAGGCGGTCTTCTAGATGTACTCTCCTATATTATATGCATTGGTGATTTGTGGCCTACATGTACTGCTTTACACTTACCCTCGTGGAACAGAAATCGATTAATCTTTGACCAATCAGCATCTCGGTCTAAGTCTTCTTCTAGGAGATCGTGCTCTTCCTGATTACCAACTACCCGTCATATCCTTATATCATCGGGTAAAGTAAGAAATTTGACGAGGACCCACGCAAACTCGTTGATGAAGAACAAGAATAAGCATGAGCCCAGCACTAATCATTGTGGAAAACTGCGGTCCATCTAGATAAGTTCGGATTATGAGTCCCGAACCCGCACTTGCAGCCACCGCTGAAGTGGAAAATTACCAATCCATCTGAGGGCTGGATTTCCAGTTCCGTAACCTTGCAGTCTATGAAACAGGATGCGGTGGTCTATGCGGTCAAATGGCTTCACAAATTCTAGATAAATGACATTGATTTCTATTGCTTCCTCCGCTTTTTCTATCTAACTGCCCCGCCCAATCGGCAAGCTGGTTGTGCGCGACCGATGTTGATGGACTCCATGTTGCTCCAGCGCCATGATGTTACATATTTCTAAACAGCGCACTAATGCCTCTGCAACCCTCGACTCCATACCTTTGAGAGCACTGCGAGGAAAGTCACTGGGTTCCTAGCGGTTACCTCGCCAAAGGTTGGGTGATAGTGCATTTCTTCCACATGCATGGGATCTGCTATTCATCCAAGCAACTTTGAACTATTCTGGATACTGGCTCGACTTTCTTAGTCAATGCCACCTGCAGTGCTTCCGGATGAACGTTTACTCCGGGGAACTGTGCTGGCACGACGACAATAGGTTCTTCAAAACAGTCGCTGAATTAAAAGTTACATGTGTGTATAGTGGCGTCTGGGGAATGGGACAGGTATGTGACATACTGGAACATATTGTGACCGTAGTACGTTCGCTGCATGCTCGGGGATTTAAGCACATCCATGGAGGACACCATGCTTCACCCTCTGGAGGCTGTGCAACTGTTTGTGCGGTTGCTTGTTATCAACACAAAGTGCATGCTTTAGGCGATTGTGGTGCACTAATTTGTCCTCTCGGACAAATGTAGTACGGTGCTTGAACTGCCTCAAATGCTTGCCCCAGTCGCGAGAACTTGGGTTAGTTTTTGCGCACGCCACGCTGCGTCTTTTATTGGCGTGCGCTGGACGCTACAGTATTGTATGGTTATCAACAGAGCCCGTGACACCATGCTGTTGTGCCCATGTGCGTTTGCGAAATCGACCTTTATTTTTTCATCACAACTAGGTTACAATTCACAATGGTCACAACCCATACGGATTCACGGATAATGGCGAGGGAATTTTTGATGTCTGACGGCTCATTAATGTACTCCGCACGAGCGGTAACGTGCATTACAATGGAGAATTAGGTGAGCTATATCGCATTTATGTTTCAATCCATAATGGTCGGCTATAGTCCCTCGTGCTTTAGTGGCATAATCTGCTGGCTAGTCATGGGTTGGATTTTCAGCAGGGGCTCGAAGTAAGGAGTTCAACTAACGGGACCTTATAAAGCGAAAGCATCACGTGGAGCTTTTCCGGATTGGTGGTTTACCTATTAGCTGTGGAGAATAATTGCGGCGAACTAGCTAAATCTTATTTAGTCCGTCCAATTATAAGTGGTCGACGCATCCTGTATCCCGTGGAACATGTATGGATAGGTTAAAACTGTGCTGTTCCCAACAGCTCATCATATACTTATTCACCTTGCATGCAAAGTCCAACTTGTGTCATGCGATCTATGCAATTTTACAAGCAAGTTAGACCATAGCGCAATCGAACTGGAACGTTGCTATTTCAAATTCGTCTGTCGCTCTTATAGGTTCCCTTGTCCATGCGTCGTCGGTTGCTTTTGCGGGCACCGTCGCGTAGTTGTTTCACTGATCAGGCGCCCTCTTCCAATAGGATTTCGGGTGCATGTATTAAGGCAAAGCGGTGCTGGCCGAACATGTCCGATAGCAATTTATCACCGGGGCGGCGACGGATTGCATGACGAGAGTGAGACTGGTGACGTCTTAGGTCAGCATTTTCGGGGTAGGATGAAGTTGGTTCACTGTAAGACAAGGGGCTGGAACATACCCCACCTTATCCCCTTAACAAATCCTGTCGGCGGAAAGAGCTGGCATTCGTTCGCATTCCATCACAGCCGTTTGTCAGTGTCCCTGCTCCTAAATTTGCCTGGCCATTGTCCGTGCAAGCGGTTACACGCACGGGCCAATAGGTGAAAAATGATTTTCACATCGAGTCGATACATCACGCTTGCGTATGATTAAACGCCTAACTCGTGTGTAAACCAATGTCCCTAGGCAACGTCATTGCTGCGATGACTGCAACGCACTTAGCTTCCTGACGTCTAGATATGGCGACTGGGTACAGCTACTAATACGACAGCGGTAGTGCCTATTCCACAGATGGCACCGGTTGCTTTTCAAGCTAGTGGGACACAATGGTTATGAGCTTCATGAAGGCTGAATATACGATGAGTCCGTAATTCGTAAGGGTTGAACCGCAGTTACTCATACACCCGTGCAAGGATGATCTTTTGTGGTACTCTCCTGTTCGCACAGATGGACCGCCAGCTCTCCTATTTGGGGGTCTTCGGTTACTCGCAGAGGCGAAAAGCAAATGTAGAATTAAGTAGCTTAATGTGATCAAACATGTTGTCAACTATTAGTATACTACTTTACCACCGCCGTTTTTAGCCTAAAGTTATTACTTTGCAGTAAAGTCGTAATTTCCTTTAGCACGAGGGTCTTTTGTACGCCCTGAGTGGCCAATTTGCAGGTCCCGGCGCTCCCAGCTGGACACATTTGCGACGAAGTCCGGTCAATCAAACAAAATTTCGGTTTAGTATTGCGCAATTACAATTTAGGGATCGATTTCTGCTTACAGTACATGTCGGCCGGTGGCCGAGTGGTCTGCACGTTTGGCTTGCAACCATAAGGTCACCGGTTCGAATCCGCGTAGGAGTGGGCGTCCTCGCGGTATACTCAGCCCGCGCGCGACTGGTGGTGGTCGCGTGGCAGCGAAGCGCCGTTACGGCGTACAGCTGATACGTTATTATTTCGTTATTACAGTACATGTTGAGGATACTATGAGTAACGGTAATTTGTCCCGCTGGGACGGCTAAGGGCATTAAAACCGGCCACTCAGGACACTCCATTGCTCATTCCTGTTATGATGGTACAAGAGAGAAGCCGTATTTCAATACTTAGCCACTAATTGGATCCAACCAAAGGGAACAGGCAGCGTAATCGCTAGTTTTAACGTCAATCCTCATACCTCAGAACTATACTCATGGACTGATAACCATAGTGCTAGAGCGGGCTTAATGGATGCAGTTACTCTGCTTACAGCCATGCTTTGTACAGTTCGAAAGTTCATGCTTTGTTGATATTCGTATTTCAACTAACATCCATGCTTGCAATCGTCATTTGTATGGTCTTTCCAAGGAATATCAGAAACTGTACGCACCGCGCGTGATGAATTTAGAAGCCAACTCGTCAATAGTAAGCTAGCCACTCATGAAAATACGCTACTAAAAATAGTCTACGGTGACCATAATGCAGATTTGGAGGGCGTAGGACGGTGCTCAACGGGCTGGTTGCGACCAAATTTCTGTGTGCGTAACAAACCGATTCACACTCCTAACCAACTTTCTTCGGTGTACGCATAATCTTACTTTTCAGGAAATCGGAACTGCTGAGGCTCATGGAAGTTAGTGAACCGTAATTCTTACTGGTAACAAGCCGGTTGAGATAAAGTATTGCTAACGTTCTGTTCGTCGCCACCTAGGCTGACCACCACGCGAGTTCTTCCAGCCAGATCCTTTGCGAGCGAAGAGAGCGTGTCGAGGCAGCCGTTCGCATGGCATGCGTAAAACGTGGCCCAGTCATTTCAGTTGGCGCAGCGATACCAGTTTGTCAAATGGAACTTCCATGTTACCCAAGACGCGAAGTCTAACCTCACCGTTGCGCACATTGTTCATCTACCACACTCGAGGTATTCTCCGCTGACTTCCATTGTCAAAGGCCGAAATTCGACGCA